GGCGCCAGCTGGACTCGAACCTGCAGCAAGCTCGGAAGCATTTGGCTACGGACCCGTGTTCTAACCATTTATCCATACCAGAATGATGCACAAATTTTTGAAATGTAATCATTATAACCATGTATAGGTAGGGTTGGGCACGGGGTATGATTTCAATTTGTCACAGGAGCACGAGGACATGATGTTACTCATCACATGGAAATTATTAATTACCTTGTGACGTTTTACTAATTGTTATCATGTAATGATTTAGGGCGTTATGCCATGCCCCGCATGATGCCCCCAACCCTATGTATAGAGGTATACGTAGTAGAATTTGTAACCGGTTTTATTTTTCATATGTTAAAACCGATTAAACACGGGTTTAACATATGAAAAATAAACCGGTTCCAAACTCTAATACGTAGCACGTTATGCGCAGATCCTATTAATAAAAGTTTATTGAATTTGGTTTAGTGGTTATTGAAAAATAATCACCAAAAGTTAAAATAAACCTTTATATATTAAACACCAATAAATTTCTTAATTTCTTTTTCAATTACCTTGTTATATAATAAAATCAGGAAAAAATTTTTTTTTAAAATTTGTCCTCTAAAAATATTGAAGTAAAAATGAATCGACAATATCAACATTATTATACTCTCATTCAATAGAAAAATAATAAAACATCAACAGAAATTTATGCCGAACTAGTAATTGGTGAATGAGATCAGGCAGTATCATTACATACTATTGATCGCTGGATTGCTGCATTTAAAGCTGGAGATAAGGATGTTGAAGACAAGCCTCGTTCTGGTCATCCTCACGAAGTCACCACACCAGAAATTATTGCTAAAGTTAAGGAATTGGTCTCTGATGATCCTCGTATTACTATCAGAGGATTGGCTGACCTTGTAGGTATTTCTCTTGAATGAGTTAATTATATTCTTAATGAAGAGCTCAATATGAAAAAAGTTTGTGCAAAATGGGTTCCGTATAAGTTAAGTGAAAAAAATAAGCAAGAACGAGTTAGAATTTCTAAAAAACTTTTAGAAATTTTAAAAAATAGTTATCAAAATATAATTACGGATAACGAATCATGGATGTATTTTTTTACTATTTCAAGCAAAGAAGATAATAAACAGTAGGTCGAATCTGGAGAAAATAGGCCACAAATTGCTAGAACTGCTAAAAATGTATGTTTTGTAAGTTCTTTGCTGCGGATGGTATAGTAGCTAGTAAAGTGGTTCCTGAAGGTACTAATGTCAATGGTAGGTTCTATGCTAATACTGTATTACCTAAAGTGTTTAATAATTTTATAAAAAAAAGAGATAGACATACTGTAAGAGATGTTTTGTTGCATCACGATAATGCTGCGCCACACAGGGCGGATGTTGTTACTGATTATTTGAAGGAAAAACGTATTAAATTAATGCCTCATCCACCTTATAGTCCAGATCTAGCACCATGTGACTTTTATTTGTTTCCAAAAATTAAGAATGAATTAGCTGGTCGACATTTTGAACGGGTTGAAAATCTTGCAAGAGCTATAAAAACAATTACAGATAATATCTGTATGGACGAATATGACAAATGTTTTAAAAATTGGCAAACCCGGCTTAAAACTTATATAGAATTTAATGGAGAGTTTTTTGAGGGAATGCATTGATTTGTTATTCAAATGTATTATTAAATTTTTTAAATAAATACTTACTGACAAGACTTATCATTCACCCAACGTATAATCGTATTTTCATTATAGAAAATTAAGAATCCCTCATTACACTCTAGATAATAAATATATTATACCGCATCTGAAGACATTTGAGATCTGGTACGTACACAGACAATAATTTTTTGCTCTTGATAGGTGATATTTATTTATTAAATTTTATTATATTGCCAATAGCCCTTTTGACCTGGTGGAATTTTTTCTCTATCTATAAGTCCGTGATATGTAATTAGGAATTAATCCAACTTACGATGCTAGTGGCATGAGTTGCATGCGGGTGAGTGACTCCTTCAGATGCTTTTCGACTGAAGAAGGGCTTTTATTTATCAGATATAAGAAATCACCCGAAAAAATTGATCGAGTTGCCGCTTCACTGAAAAAAGTCTGGAAGCGCAGACCTTTTTTTTCATAGAGTTAACGCTGATTGGCCAAAGCTGCTTATTAATAGAGTATAAAAAAAAAAGGTTGTTCAAGCTCTTTTGTTTTACGTCATGGATCTTTTTAGCGAAATTATTAAATTGCTTTTTATATTCGAAACACTTATCGCTAATAAAAATTCCAGGAAACTCAAAGAGCAAATCTTGCTAACAATTGTTATTTCCTAACTTTTACGTCAATATATATATATTTTTTTACTAAAAATTTTTAATATTCCAATGCCTCATTATTTTTGGCGTTGGTTTTGTTCAAGTTAAAGGAGAAAAAAGTTGTGAATATTGTAACATATGAAATATTCGTAATTCTGTAAAAGGGTAAATTGGACATTTGGAGTGCTGAAGTTACATTTGATTGTTGAGGTGTTGAAAAAGGAGTTACATTTGTTATTGCTTTTTTTTTTGTTACGATTTGCTGAAGGCATAGAGTAAAGCAAGGATGTTTGCTCAAACAACGATTTCAATCATTATTACGATAATTTTAATAATTGAACATCATCTCAATCACTATCAGATCACATTGAGGGAGTTGCCCTAACTATATTAATATTAAATATATATATACTTTATATTATTAAAGACATAGTGCGTAAGCAATGTAGATTTAGATCAAAGAGAAGTGATACAATATTTAAAGTGGGCCATTTTTTTAATTATAAAAAAGACCAAAACCAAAGATCGTAAGGGAATAAGAACATTCTAGAGTTTTTAAAGGTTTTAGCAATAAAAACAATTCAGTCAATAAAAAATATTTTAGGTATGTGGGTAGAATAAATAATTTTGTAGTGTAAATTACGAGAAATTTTTATATATATTGAGTCATTTTGACCTTCGGGAAGAACAACTCTCGTTTAAAAGATCATTTGCGACTTTTTTTTTTTTTGGTCATTTGAAATTATTACATGTGGATTAATAGATTACTCACATTATCGATTTAACTCATTCAAAATATTTATTTAAAGATGTTTTTAGAATATAAAAAGCTGTCTCAACCTATTTATGGTGAGAACGCATTATTAAATTCTTCTAAAATCTGAATCGGGCCACAAAATTTGGGTATTATAATTATATTAATAAGAATACTAAGTTAGATAAAAAAAATATTTATATGATATAATTATTAAATATAACTATATATATATCTGATATATAATGTATAATAAATAAGTACATGATTATAATTTCGCCAATACTTATACTGACACTAACTTAGTTCTCACTCTAATCTAAATATTAAAATTAAATTCAAACGCATGAAATGTAACATATCGATATATAAATGTTTGAATAGTCTTTGGTTAGAAGGCATAAATTCTTAGGTAATATCAAAAAATCAAATATTTCAAATATTTTTTTTTTTTTTTGTACCTCGTGATGCTTTAGTCTTACTTCTGAAATTCTATTTCAAATTTTAAGAAGCATGAATTTGATAATATCGTGTCTATTTGTCAAAACCAAGACAGAGAAGTACTTTTATTCTTTTGTTATTCTTTTTCTATTTTCTGCTTTTATCTTATGAGCCACATCCATCATTGTTTTTCCAATAAGAAAGTCTCCTTTTTGATGATAATTCCCAATCTGTACAATTCTTCCCAATGTTCTCAATGCAGAATGATGGCAGTGCATTGCTGATTCTCTTAAAAACTTTAGTGCGATCATATACCTATTTCCATTAAATACAACTGGTCCATTTAACAAATTATATGCGTACCAATATTGTGCATCCGGATGTTGTAATTCTGATGCTCTTTTGAGGTATTTCATGCTTTTTTGATCATTTTTTTTAACATGATGTCCTTTAAGGTGATAAAATCCCACCCAAAAATTTGCATGTGGGTCATCAGAATTGAGATGGTGACATTCTTGAAATGTCTCCCATGCTTGTTTATATTTTTTCTTTTGGTGATATTTAATACCTTGTTCTATTTTATCAGATCTGGGTGAATATTGACTAAATATGCTATGATTTCCAATTTTCAAATATTTTAATATTTCATCATTTGATGGTCCTGTATCTACAATACAATCAATATAGTCATCATCATCTGCATCTTGTTCAGAAAAATATGCCATGTTTAGTTTATTTAGATTTTCGTGGATTGTTCTCATATCAGGGCGCAGAGACGGATCTTGTGACCAAGATTGTTCGATAATTTCTTGATATTTTGCTAGTATACCATTTACTGGTGTAAGTTCTGGGCGGTATCCGGCAAGTATTTTATTTGTGATTTCTTCCTCCGAAGCTAAGATATCAAAAGGCAATTTCCGATATTCAATCTCCCACATGACCAGCGCGAAACTTTTTAATATAGATATAATTATTATCTTTTACATAAATTTTGAATTAAAATTTTTACATTTCATTAAAATTTTACCTGTATACTTCGCTAGCCTCATCGTATTCTTCACCGCGGATTCTCTCTGGTGAGCTCCACCTAAAATAAAATAAGTCATTAAAAAATATATACATATGTCTGAATAACATCAAATTTTAGTAAATTACCTTAAAGTTTCAGGCGATATTGATGATGATTTCAACATCACTGAAGATTCTTTAGCAATTCGGAAATTATACAGCTTAGGATATAAATATTTATCGAGTAACACATTGGCACTAATCGTATATTTAAAGGAATTTAATTAAAATATCGGTAAAAACGTCAATATTGCATTACAAATATTACATGACACTAACGTTCTAACATCATAATGTAAAATATTTTGTTCATGGCAAAAATCCAATGCATTAGCAATTCCACGTGCAATTGACAACTTATATGTTAAACTAAGGTCCGGATGTTCTGCAAGATAGGTTTGCAAGTTATAATCTCCCCAACCTGAAATTACGGAAAGGTCAGTGGATCGACAGCAGTACCCATAGCTTATGACAGAAAAAAAAGCTTGTTAATTATTATTCATAAATTTATATTTGAAAATAAGATTGTTATATGGATGAATAATAGCCAATCATTGTCAGGTCACGTGTCGGGAAAGTACAGAAAGTCCTCATCCACGCTCCGAATGATAAATTCATCCCAAAAAAGATAATATAATAAATTCAAACTTACAATTCAAGAATATTTGTACATTTACAAAGATCTTGCACAAATTTAATTTCTTTCTTTAATTCACACAAAAGTCCATCATCATACTGACAAATAGTCGTTTCAGCAACTTTTATACATCCTAAATAAATTCGTTGAACTATATGACCTTTACTTCCTCTAACTATCTCACTCCCCGAAAGTTTTCCTTCAACAATTTCACAGTCATATTGTTCCAATCGTCTATTAGGAATAACAAGGAATTTAGCAAAAGCCATGACCTTATGTTTAATTAGGTACCAATAATTCTGTTTGGCTTTCCATTCTTCAATTGCATTTTGCAATTCCTCATTCGTTTGGTCCAATTCATTCATTAGACGACAAATTTTTTCACGGGCCTATTTATCATTAGAAATTATAAATGAAAAATAACATTCGTAAAAAATGTATATACCAAATTTAAAATTAATAGTTACATACTTCAATCTCGGTACAATCATTGTGACCGATAAAAAGACCGGCCTCCCAGAAACTATTATAAAATTTTTGAAAAATTTCAGATTCTTCGATGAATTCCTGAAATCTATGATTAACCATTATTTCTTCATCCTTTTCATTTGAAGACTCATTAGAAGACGGTTTATTAGAAAACATTAATTTAGCAATTCCTTCCAACGTATCTTGGCCACGTTTAGCTGCCTCCAATCCTTTAGCACATAAATCTCTATGATGTTTTGAAATTTCAAACTCTTGTATGGCAAACGTGAGTGACTTTTCTGCAATCGAGAGATCTTTACATTTTGTTGATAGTGATTTATTATTCGATAATGATGAATTATCAAAAAAACCACTTTCTCGTTTGTTTGAGGAGGCCATAATGTTTTCTAAGAAGTTTTAAATGAATGTGGGATGTCTCTATAATTTTTAAAGTCTACTCGAAAAGATATGATCTGATTTTAACGTTGAAAGAAACTAAATTAAGTTAAAATGAACAAATATAAAAATTTTACAACGTTTTATGTTAATTCTTTGATCAAATTTCTCCCAATAATTCGGTATACACACATACGCAAGTATACGTATGTTAATTTTAACCTCAATGTAAATCAGGGGTAGTATTACAATATATATTTTTTTAATTAATTCGCTGTACACAATGTTAATTGAGTTCCTAATTTATCTCATAAACAAAAAGATGCTGCACAAAGACTGCACAAAGTACGCAGAATCCCTTGCTTAGCGTGGAGAATAACTCAAAGACATGCACTAGAAAAAATTCAATGGACAAAAACTAACAATGATCAAAACGTTAGACTACGATGACACTTTAGCATTAGAAAAGATGGCATATAAACACTGGACAGATGAATTCAATAATACAAAGGTAAGGGTTTCAATGGAACGTACGTACGTACGTGCATACATTCATTAAAAAAGACCTAACATAGCACTAAGATTGTTCCTATGGAATTTCTAAGATTCTATAATTAGAGTGCGTGGTTTTAATTTTTGGGGTGGTGTTACTGAGTTGTGCTACGAAAAACTATAAATTTTAGACACGAAAAATTTGGGTTCAAAGAAGAGATTGTACCCGTAGAAAAAATCGCTACTTGGGTATTATTAAAATATCCAATTACCAGGGTAAATTATTATGTATTTCTGATGAAAACTCTATCCAGGTACAGTGTCTAACTCAAAGAACTCAACTGTGATTCTGGCCTATAAGGCCGCTTCAGTTAAAGTTTCGTTTAACGTTATTTCTTTTTCGTATTCACGGGAGGGGGGAAATTAAACAAACATAAAAAATAAACATATAGTATACCGAAAAATTCCCGAATATAACCGAAAAATTCCGATCACCGTGCCGCCATTACACTGACTAATTTGTCACCTCTATTTGTTTAATTTTATGGGGGATGGAGGGAGGGATAACGTTAAACGAAAGTTTAACTTCAAGCGGCCTAATTAAAAACTAAAAAAATCGGCTTAACCGTTCGATCTTTAAATCGGTTGATCGATTTTATTGAGATCAATTATGCCATTTCCAACTTTAATTACGCATGTTAAAATAATTAGCAGTTCAAAACTTTTATGCAAAAATTTTATAAAAAAATATACAAACTAATATAAAATAACAATTTAAAAAATAAGCATATGGAGTGAGTCAGTATAAACACCAAATTTTTTCCAAGTAAATTTTTTTAAAATTTTGAACAAAAATGTCTTAGCAATAAATTAATCAAATTTAATTTAAAATAATTTTGAAAATTTATAAAAATCATTTAAAAAATTTTTACTAAATTTGATTAAGTTTTTGTTAAGTTGTTTTTGTTTGAAGATTTAAAAAAATTATATTAAAAAAGATTTGGTGTGTTTCTACTGGCTCACCCTCAATTTGAAAATTCGTGGTGCATGCATTGTTTTTTGCACAAAAATTAACAATTACTGTCCAGTACTGCAGTATGCACAAAAAAAAACCAAAATAACATTCCTGTATAAAAAAATTTTTTTGCTCACCCTTATAATTAAATTTTTATAACTATTTGAACTAAATGTAAAAAGATTATATATACCAAATTTTTATAAATATTATAAAAATCTAAGCTAAATATAGGGATAAATTATGAGTCCGTCCGATTTGGTCCTAGAACCTTCTAGGATCGTCCTGGACTCAAATCTTTAAATCACATGAAAACATAATACATTTAGATCCTGAATTGGGTCTTCCGAATAAGTTCAACACAATTCGACAAATGTATTATGTTTCCATGTGACTTAAGGACCGAGTCCTTACCGGTCCTTGAAAGGATCCGCCAGGATCGGTTAGGACTTGTTCCCATAAGACCAATTAACATCCCTAGTCAAATAAATACAGTATAAGTTATATAGTATATTCTACAATTAACACTTTTAGTGCGTAAAAACGGCACCACCAAAGATATATATATATATATATAACTTATAATTACTATAATAATATAATTGACTAAATTTTAACTAATAACTAACTAATTAATAATTACAAGATATTTTATATAAAAATATTTTATATAGCCACAACTTTTTTTAACTTTAATTCTAATCCTAATATAAAAAATTCGTGTTAAAAATTTATATATAAAACTTAAAAGATAGTAAAAAATATTTTATAAATATAAACCATTATACTGTAGGTATGTTTTATAATAATTGAAATACTATATAAGATCTTTGCTAGGAATTTTTTTTTCTAAAAATAAATTTATTATAATTTTTCTAATCAAAATCTTGTAAAACAATAACTCGAAGAGTGATTTTTCTAGCAAAGATCCTACACGGGTTAAATCAATGAATATCGGGTGCATACCAGAAGACAAGTTTTCTGATATGTACCCGTTAGTCTGCCATAGATCCGCAGCATATTGGCAGCATACAGTAAGACCTCCCTAAGTGCACACTCTATAAGTGCACGCCCTATGTAAATTCTCTCTAAATGCACGGCATAGCTTAGCCCCAACTTATAAGAGCACTATATATTTTGTTCTCTATAAATGCACACTCTCTTTAAGTGCACATTTTTCTTTTTTTTTACTATGGTCCCGAGGGGGGTGCACTTAGAGAGGTCTTTACTGTATTTGTAAGATATCAAGAGGTAAATCGATATCGGAACATAACAGCACAATATTCGGATACCCTGATGTCTTACTCTTATCACATTGGGCCTAAAGTAAGATATCGGGGTATCAAATACTTTGCTGTTATGTTACTAATATCGATCTACCTTCTGATATTTTACCAATATGCTGCCAATATGCTTCTGATTTTCAGCAGGTATTTGGCGGATCTATAGCAGACTAACAGGAAAACTTTTTTCCCGGTATGCACCTGATATTCATTGATTCAACCTATGCTATATAAATTAATATTTTTTTAATTTAATTAAAAATTATAAATACTGTTTAAAATTTAAACAAATTTGTCTAAAATATATAGTAGATAAAAGATTATTTCAATAAATATATAGTATTTATATATATATTATTTATTTATTTTAACTCTTTGGCAGTCTTGCTAATATTCAAATAGATGGTTTATTTCAAATATTTTAATACAATTTTATTATTATATATAAGAAATTATTTAAATTGCAAGTTTGATATTACCTGGCTATAAGAACTATGCTCAAATACCATCTGCTGCACTGGAGTAACAAATATCTAGAAGGCTTTATCAAATTGCTACACTATAAAAAATGCATTTTTTAAAAATATAGAAAACAAAAAAAAAAACTTATATAAAAAAGAAAAAAATAATACTAAAACTAAAAAAAAAAAAATAAAAAAAAAGAGTTGAAAAATAATAAACAAATTACAAAAAAAAAACTAAAAAAATCTAAAAAAAATAAAAATAAAAAAATAAAAAAGCTTTATAAAAGAGAAGTTAGATATTATTATAACTTGTACTAAACTTAAAAATTATATATTAAATATTATATTTATTTATTTATTTATTTTTTAATATTAAGATAATCTTTATAGTTGAAAACTTTTATTAAATATAAATATATATTTATATAATTACAATAAGAGTACAACTAATTATATATATAATTTTTAATTGTTTAATTTAAATAATCTATTTAAAGATTTTATACTAATTGCTATACTTATAATCTAACTAGAAGATTATTTAATTTAAATTTTAATCTTAACTATTAATAGTAATTACTTTTCTAATTTCTTATTATACTAAATAGATTTTAGAATAGTGTAATATAGAAACTCTTGGTTGTTAACTATATTACTTGATTTAATGTGCAGAGAGTAAGAAATATGAATAGAAGAGAAAAGAGAAAAAGAAAGAAAAGAAAACTAAAAGCAAAGAATAGAGAATATAGAGTATAAAAATATAGAAAACAAGAAAGAAAAACTTAAAAAAAAAGACAATAAACCAAAATAGAAAACTGTCTGGCTTGTTGCTCTGTTTTGATCCTCCTTTGTAGCAAAATATATTGATGCTGTGCCTCTTT